TCTGGGCGGGAGTTCACAGTAAAGCGAGTGTCTGAACTGTGGAGTATTCATACTCATTTCAACGTCCTGTATACTTAGTGGAATTTGTATAAATTATTGTAACCCTTTTGATTCCTACAGCCGAGTACTTTGTGCCAAGCGCTAAACACACGTTTTGTTCCAGTTCACAAGTATTGTGTTTATTTGAGCGCATCCGGCGTTATATAGATATGTTTTCAGGCAAGGGAACAGCTTGAAAACTTTGTTTCAGAATACGAGCTAGGAAAAGAAGTGATGACGAGTTACGGGCTAAATTATTGATATGTTAAAGGGTAAGAGATTTATTTTATGACTATGATCAAGAAAGTATGATGGTCCAAAAACCTGAAATAGGGCTACCAGACTGCAATGTGGTATCATAACCCTGAAGATAACATTACGAACAGAAAATTCATTAGTTACTGATTAGTTCTTTAACGAGTTAATGTAAGTTTGCGAATGAGTTGGTTAGTTATTGAGTCTAGAAGCAAGTTTGTTAGTTGGTGACTGATTCAGTGTGGGTTACAAAATGAATTCACAAGTGGGTGAGTAGATATCTGATTAAGGAAATCAGTGAATAATTTACCTAGCTCTTCAGCGATGTATTCAGTGCTTACGCTAACGGGTGTCTTAAATCAGGTAACCAAGAGTATGTCAATTAGGGAGTATTTTATTGAAGTGAATGGGTAAGTCATTTGGGCAGAGAGCCGATGTCTCCTCGGAGGGTCTTAATTTTTATAGTGGGAAGTTCGTACTCGTATAAATAATAAAATTATATTACATTTGAGTATCCTGTTGCATTGTTATATCACTCACTCATTCGCGTCTATCTTCAATGAAAATTAAAACTATTTATAATCTCGTTAATTTAAAATAACATTAAAATCCTTGCCACCAAGACCCGATATATGGATCGCATCGTTAGGGACGCCATTGAGACTGAACTTCATCCCGACAATATGAACAGAGAGGTGGGGTTTTGTCTCAGCAAGTCATGGAAGCCTCTCATCTGTTCTCTCAAGAAACCTCCGGGACATGACGCCAGATCCACAAGACCACGCAGGTCCATGCCCGACTCGCATCGTAGCCCCTAAGCTTCTGGGTTAAAGCCCTCCCATTAACCTTGTCTTTCTCCCCCCGATACAATATTCTATACCTGCTCTGTGCAGACTACCTGTAGGTCTATCTCCACAGACCCTTCCCCTCTCCTCTCTACTGATTTCCCACGTAACCCCATCCCTTCTGTTACTGCACTTATACAGCTGGGTTTATTCGACTCGGCATTAGTCTGTCAGCATCTGCTCACGCTGGTTCCTCTCTCGCGGGTTTTCGTTTTCCTTCTACCCTGAAGATGGAGGTGATACGCTCCTCCGAAACGTCGGTTAACACAATACGAACACGGCGCCACATCCCAGAAGACGGCTTCCTTCAACATTAAAATCACATAAATTGCTACAAGTTTCGACCCTACTTGGCCATCTTCAGACAATTGCTGATAATCGTTCCTATGCAACGAGCGATACACGTGGCTAACACTACAGAATATGTGTTTTCTATGTAGTTCGCATATACCCATTGATAGGTAACGGATCAATAAACACGTATTCTTGATAACACGTGACACAAGTTTTAAATGAGGTCGGACAAGAGGCTATATAACGAGAGCATTTTGTAGCTAGATGGATTAGAGAATTGGAATTTGGAGTTCAGAAGTTGTAAGAGAATTGCTGTGGGAGGCCGATAATTAGAATTGAAAGCGTACAAAGGGAGTAGAACGGAGCACTAGAAAGAGAATGGAGCGTGTTCTAGTGATTTGTGAAGAGGGTAGATTAGCGATAGCGCTATAATTGGTTGTGATTAAGAGAGATTGTACAGGAAGGTGTCAATAAATCTAATCATCTACTCCAGAACCCGTTATTATTAGTCACGGAACCATAACCACGTGATATTTTGCCTATAGATGGCGAAGTAGGGCCGATCATGTAGCAGTTGATGTGATTTTAATATCATTTTAAATTAAAGAGAGATTTTGAACAATTTGAATTTTCGTTACAGACGGGGGCAAATGAGTGCGTGATACATAATAAGACGTCAACTTTTACTTGCAGGAGGACATATTTGCATTCTACGTCATAAAATTCATTTAATTTATGTTGTTTAATAACATAAGATATTTTCTTTTAAAGCCAACAGAAATAAGAGATTCGTTCTGTACAATACCGTATTTACGCATGTATAGGCTGCACATTTTTTGCCAAAAATTCAAGAGGAAAACTGGGGTGCGGCTTATATTCGAAATATTCGAAATCACACTTCATTTAAAAAAAATATATTCATAATTAGTAATACAGGGTGTAATACTCCTGAAATAATATTCCAAGAAAATTATTTTTTCTATAATTTCTGTCTGAAAATTGTGCTGCGGCCTATACACGCACGCGGCCTATACATGCGTAAATACGGTATATGCAGAAATAGTTAGGGTAAAGCAGGCGATACAGACCTTTCCAATTTCACATTTATTTATTTCTGCCTTAATACCAGTGTTTTTCGGCCTGCGTGCTCTAGTAGGCATTCGAGCAAATAACATATATTGTATGTAGAGGCAAACTCCTCAAAATTTGATAGTCTCACATCTGCCTCGTTCTTAATATGTTTGTACAATGTAGATAAAAACCTACCGTGAAAGCACTGGCAAACATGTTTTAGTACATAAGACTAGACCCTGAAGAAGCTACGTCCCAAAACCGGCTAACAAGATCGGCCTAACGACCTGAGTAATCACTATCATAGATATCTCATATATGTACTTACATTACATTGCACACTCCTGTTGCTCCCTTTGGAGCACAGGGTATACGTGAAAAGCGTTTACTTCACTTCAATTTCTTAGTCTCAAGAGACACCGTAGAGTCCAGTGCTTCTCAACCGGCGGGCCGCGGCCCAGTAGTGGGCCCTGGCATCAATTATACTGGGCCCCGAGAGGCTCTTCTGGAATTTGTCATTTTCATTTTCTAAGCATTTTTCATTAATAAATATTTTTTTTTGTGGAAATATTCTGAGGAGAATAATATTTGTGTCGAGAAGCTCAGACACAGAACACCTAAATCTGTGTAGAAAATGTCAGTGACCAAGCCACATATTTTTAAACATGGAAGTATTCATGAATGATCGGGAATTTTCAGACATCCAAATCTTTCAACATTCGGGAAAGGCAATACCGGTGTTTATGACCAGTTATAAAAATTCCAGATTTACATGAAATAGCAGTGAGGTTTCTTCTTTGTTTTTCCACCACATATATTTGTGAAACTGCATTTTCATCTTCAATAACTCGAGTAAGATTCGAATCCACGGACACTGTGTTTGGGCGGGCGAAGGCAATTCATGCCTTACACCGCGTGGACAGTGTGACCGGCAATGTCACATATAATAAATATAATTTTCATCAGTTGATTCTTCAATCTCTTTTGTAGCTGACCTCAATCTCTCTTCTTTCTTCAGGATGAGAGTCCAACAGCTTACGAGTAATGCGATTGGTTGGCATTTCGAAATAAATTTGCTGTAATTTTCTTCCTTTCTCTCCTAGGTGTAATACATTCATTTCTCCCTTCTTCTTTTTCATCTTTCTCCTACAGTCTGCCACTGACGTCAGCAATCTCATTCCAGTGGGCCTGAACTGTTGGATTATTGTTTACTTAATGCCCAGACATGTACTAGACACAATTTTAGATTCGGGCGAGGGCACGCAATCTCATTCCAGTGGGCCTGAACTGTTGGATTATTGTTTACTTAATGCCCAGACATGTACTAGACACAATTTTAGATTAGGGCGAGGGCACGCCAAGGAAACTGGCAACAACAACGCAACCGAAATTTCCGAGAAAAATCGCCGATTTTATCAAGCAAATGGTTTGCAGATTAGCAGGCGCACACTGAGGAAACTTATGCCTGAGCAGTTGCTCACAGCATCTTAAAAGGGGCATGTTCGTCCGACGTCATGCATGACTGTATTCTTTATTCCCGCGCACTTACCTTCTGCAGGGGAAGACAGTAACACTGATCCTGTCATAATGTGGTAGTAGTTGAGACCGACTGAGACAGCGTGAGAATGGGACAACTACAATAAGGAAAATAGTTCGATGTTAATTAAAGTGTTTTAATTAAGTTCAATTTATTTTAATCAGGAATTATCACTTTCACAGGCTACACGAAGCGCAACAATTTTAGCAAGACAGAAGGCACCTGATTGTGGCCGTATACAGCCGAATCCTGTAATGTGGAAGAAAGGGGACTATATAGAAAGTTGTATATTTAAGACGGAAATATATGTGAAATAAATGATATATTAATGCAAGAGGATGCCTAAATATAGTATTAGGAAAAGAAAAGATTGGGTGCATCTGTTTTTCTGTAACAATTTAAATTGTGGGGCTATATTATTTCGAAAGAACTCAACCTGGATCCACACTCCTTCGTCTCATGAGAAATTCCTTCCCAAGCCAAATATATTTTGTCCAGCTTAGCATAGTCAGGGTGGCGTTTGTCATATATACCAGGCTCTTGTTCAGTTAACTGCACAACAACAAAATTAGCAGCTTAGTCAAACTTTCATGCCATCTTAAGAAACAAATGAATCACTGAAGCGTCTTATAGAACAGCTGACATTAGGAAACCATGCGGCAAAGCAATTACGAGAAGACTGGCATGTTCCGTTGCTTGAAAGTTGAGTTTCTCAGTCTTTGCGCGAGTTGCGATGTCCTGCCCTCAATATGCGCTGCTCCACTCAGTAACACGTGTTCAACTCAGGTTGATAACAGTTCTTGGAAATTGCGTTTGCGTTGCGGTTGCCAGTTTCCTTGGGGTGGCCTCGCTCTTACAGTAATAGAGGAGCATGACTGAGTGCGGAAGGCACTACAAGGAACAGCACGAGTGAGGAGAGACAGTGTACAGACACTTCATGGATAGTACAACTGTTGCAGGTCAGATGTCAGTGATGGAGCCGGAACCGGAATTCCTTCAACCACTGGAGAACCACACCGTGACACAGGGTCGCGACGTATTCTTTACGTGCGTTGTGAACCACCTGGGTCCCTACAAGGTAAGTGTACGGAGAGATTTACGCTGTTAGTTAACTTGTGCATCTTGAATCCAGCTTACCAGATGAACCCTTAGGAGGAACCACTGCTGGGTGGGTGGTCACGCCTGTGGTATTTCCTATTCGTTGTGATAGATGAGTACGGTTCATCAATGAAATGGTAACTGACAGGCGAAAACTGACTTACTCATTTTTAACCAAAATATTGCCACTTCGTTCGCCATGAAATTTACACAGAGTTCCCTTAGATTGAATTCCATCCTCTGAGACTATAAACCAGCGTCCAAGCACATCAGCCACAGCTCAATCAAGAAGTTCAAACTTTCCCAAAAATAACTTCATTGTTGCTACCAAGAAATCGGATTAATATATGGGTCTACTCTGGTTACTAGGACTAAATTATACATTTTCTCTCGTAAATCCACGTCCAGGGACAAATAATTACGATCAACCATAGTAATAGAATATTGACATTAATATTTTATCACATCTTAGCTTAACGACAGTTTATTTCTATTCACAAGAATTACTTCCATCGGAATATTAATATGCCATTTCATAATGTAAAAAGGTCGTAATTATCAGTAAACCTTATGTTTAATCTTCTTCTGACAAACGACACGACTGTATTCCATAATATAAAATATTTTCAATGATTATGTCATATATTAATGTGAATTAATTATAAATTGTATTTCATATTAATTTCGTAAGTCATTTTAATAATACAATATTTTACAAGAAGAAAGATAATTGTTTTTATGATCAAAAGAAGGTGAAACACTCGTATTTTTTCTCGCAACTTATACACGCACACAACAAAACGAGATGCGAAACACCGAGAAAATATCATAGCTTCACATAAAATGTTCATATTATTAGGCCTTCTCTAAAGCGTAAAATTAAGTCATGTGTGTAGATATATGTTCGTCTCTGCCTTTGTTGTCTAGTTATCAGCACCAGAATTTTTCGATAGGTTTTCTTTTTTTTATTCCATATGGGAAACATTCATTAAAAGTTTCCAAGAAATTCCGATTATAAGCCGCATTGACCCACAATGAACTAAAACCATAAAATCCGTGGTTCTAGTCCGTAAGCGAACTATACCGACCGAGAGACCGCCGCTTGTTGGCGAAGTTAGTGACAACACTAGCGGATAGATGATGTCACGTGGTCAGCGCAACGAATCCCCACGGCCGTTAATTTCGGTTTTCTAGACCGGAGCTGCTATTTCCTTGAAATAGCTACTCAATTATCATCACGAGGCTGAGTGGACCCCATTCCAGAACTACTACTTCTCAGAAAATCTGGTAGCGCCAGGAATCGAACCCGAACCTTTGGATCTGTAGGCAGAAACTCTGACCACTAGACCACAGAGGCGGTCAACTAAAACCATAAATGAATAAATTAAAGCTAATAAATTACAAACAGCTGTAATTGGACATCCATTTTATTAAAATTTGGAGTGAAATTTTCATATCCCAGCACCATTATTGGTCATATTTTAAATTACTCATGAGGTGTGTTAAATTCAATCCTAAAATAGAGAAAAAGTAAGGATCCGCGAAAAAGAAATCTCACCTAGAACTGCAGCCTATTTATAAAATAGTCTGGGATATCTCGTGTACTTAGTGATCCGTTCAGATGGCTGAAAGTTCTGCTTGAATAAAGATTCAGATGCGGTCCCGCAACTTACATTTCCTTCATTCCCCTTCTCCCATCACCAGCAATAACTTGAAGATAGTCTCTAGCTGACAAGGAGGAATTCTCCCAGTTCCATCGCATCAGCCGAAGTGCTGGAGCATTCTGACGCTCAGAGTAGCGAGAGAAAGGAAGAGAGGGATTGCCCTTTATCGGCGAATGAACGTCAGCTATTTCATCTCACGACTCCAGAAAATCTGTCGTATTCCAGAATTTAGCTGCACTGCAATAATCTGACCAAATGCTCCTTGAACTTATTTTCGTTTCCTCGTAATTCCTTTATATGGTTATTCAGATTTCTTGCTGGATTTTAAGCGTTAACTCCTAAAGATGAAAAAACAGTATATGAAACAGGAGACGGGATAGTGCAATCGGTATAGTGACTGGCTATGTGCTGGACGACAGAGGGGTCGGAGTTCGAGTCCCAGTACGTTCAAGAATTTTCTCTTCTCCACGTCGTCCAGACCGGCTCTGGGGTCCACCCAACCTCCTAACCAATGGATAACGGGGGCTTTTTCCCGGGGGTAAGACGGCCGTGACGTGAAACAGAACATTCACCTCCAGCAAGTACTCAGATTAAGAAAATATGGAACTATATATCCAATACCCAATATGCCTTCATGGTGTTGTGCTTAATTAGTTAATCACAGGTACAACTTTACCTTACTTTACACATATTTGAAACTGTTTCCTTCCTTCCTTCCTTCCTGCGTTAAAATATATATATTTCTGGATATTTTAACGTTATATAAAGTTCAAAAGAAAACTGTTCGCAACCAAATGAATGGTAAATGGGATAATAGAGAATTTTTCCTTGGAAATAACATCAATTTTGAAAACGTGAAAAAATATAAGGATAATATTAAAATAAATTTATGTCCAAGAAAACCCTGGGTTGTTACCGTGTATATTGGATTTAACTAGCTTATAGTCCTGTCAATTTGTGGGGTTTAGGAACAGCGGTATTTAATTTACTACCATAGACACACCGAGTGACTCACTTATTCACTGACTTGACTGACTTAACTGACTGTTAGTAGTTAGATATATTTGTGCCTATGCTTACAGATGAATAAGATTTTTGCATTAAACTCTCTTGTACCATGAATGTTCCCTTCCTTCATTTATTTCTCTCTTTATGTTTTCCTTAAAGACGCTGTCAGTAGATTAGGCTATAATCCCTCCAATAATAGGCTGATAGTGAAATACCGTGACCTGATTAAAGCAGCACTCTCTTGGAATTTGTATGAAGAGACCGACTAATGCAACAAAGAGCCTACGTCAGGATAACCGATTTGTAGGTAGAGATTTAAATTTGGGACCTTTTGAATACTTATAACGAGTGCTATCCATTCTGTTTATGACTTTAATTTTATTATAATTTAAAATAAAAGTACTACCTATTAAAATGTAAGTATGCTGTGTTATGTAGCCAGCGCTCCGCATCTGCAGGAAACTGTGAACCAGTCCTCTAACGTTTCTTACTAACCCAAATTTAGTTTACAGAGACGTGAAACTTCGTTTACCAATTACTAACGTTGGTGAGGACTCTGTACTTCCCTGTTAAGTACGTTTTCAAGAGTGCAAGTAACCACATCTCGTGCAGGTTTCTCACGTTGGGGAAGATTGTTTTCAGGTGCCTTGGCGCTGATGTGGAGGGGCTGATGTGCACAGTGGAACTTCCAAATTAATTCTCTGGTCACACTTACAAAAGTCAGTTGGCAAGTAAGAAATTTGTTAAGCAACACGCAGAAACCACAATCGAATGGTACAACACAGAACTCTCGCAACCTCAGAGTAGGACAATTAAATAAGATCGCAGGAATGTAGGATTCTCCATGCAAGAGAACCGTTTCTCTGCGCGAACCCCTCTTGAGATTTACTTCAAATGAATTAAGAAATTAAAGCATTTAGTCACTTTGTAGCGTTGTTAAATGGCTTGGAAAATGAAGTTCTTGGCCTTGTAAAGCTTCCAAGACAAATGGTGCTTCTGTTTCCAAGATTCCTTTTTTATTCTTTTTCCCCTTCCTCCTTTCCTTTGCGAGCAAAATCTAGACGGCTTGTGAGAAGATGGAGCTGGATATCGCAACGCCTGGAATTGTTCAGTTTGACCATTTATCAAACGGTTCTCATTTCTCTTGAAGCGAAGTAATCTTAAATGTCTGAAATTAATTTGTTCCCCTACTATAGTCGAAAACAAACCGAGAAATCACATATTACGATATATCGAGTTGTTGAAACGTCTATGTAATACTCAGAAAGCAAACTATCCAACTGTGAAGATGCTTTGAGGTCAGTAATTCATCCAACAAACTGGTCAAAGTAATGAAATGTTCCAATCAGTACCTGCCACAATGTGAGTTACATCAAAGTAAATTGAATGTAAACAGGGCATACATCCCATAAATTATTACGTAAAACTGAAATCTGTTTTCGAATTAAAACTCCACTATGCAACTCTTCAAAATAAGGCAAGGATATTAAAAACTGTAGAGTCCGAGATCTCTCTAGTAGGACGCCCCCCAAACCAAGTTTATTTCACATCTCCGCTTAAATGTCATTAGGGAGAACAGAAGTGTTAATGGACACATGGGCATATCGTAAACCCGAGCATCGAGATAAAGAGTTTAGCGCATATGCTTCCTGTTTGGAAGATCCCGAGTTCAAGTCTCGACCCGGGGACCGAGTACGCTATCTGACGTTCTTCTTGTTAATCAGTTTCCCCAACATGCAAATTTCAGCGTAGTAGTTCAAATAATTTTAGGGCATTATCCTTATTATTAGAGCCCACATCAATATTGCAACATCTACGTGTAGAATATGTTTCTCACTAAAAGTGTAACTTTAATACTTTACGATGTTGTTAAAATCATGAAATGTCATTAAGACGTTAAAAGTATAATTTATACACTAAAAGTGATTNACGGCGCAAACAAGAAGCACAAATAAAACATGAACTAGGTGCCAAAACAACATACAGGAACTAAAAAATTGCATTACAAGATTGTTTTAAAAGTCAGACAGACTTAAGCAGGACTGCTTTTACCGGTTCTCACGGTCTCTTTGCTTGCGGATTTCTTATATTTTCCCTTCTACCCTGAAGATGGAGGCGATACGTTCCTCCGAAACGTCGGTTAACACCACATATACACGGTGCCAAATCCCAGAAAACTGCTTTCTGATTATAAGTTTACTAAAAGTCTCTCATTTTTCATATGTGTCTTAATTTACAACATGTTTCGGCCGCACATGGGCCATATTTTCAAAAATATTGTTGCATTATTGACGGGTGCTTTAATAAGAAGGATAATGCCTCAATGCAACGGAATGCTGAAATATAATATTGTAGGACAGCTTCCTTCCACATAACTTCCATTTCATTATTCACCAATCACCCGATCATTCGATGTCATATTCTGAGCACATTTAAAGCGTCGATAAATAAACCCGTCTCTTCCCCTCAAAAGTCTTAAAAACTTTAGTATTATGACTGCTATGACTTGTAGTATTATAAATTGTACATGGTATTATTTTGAACTTTCAGTTATACTTCATGTAATGTACATCATAATATTACGTAAATATTTCGCTGGTTTCCGAAGCACTGACCCGGAATGTGCATAGATTATACGTATTTTCCTAAGTAACCTGGTTCATTGCCACACCTAGGAACATTCCTTACGTCGATATTAACATTCCGCTATTATTGTAATACTCTTAATATCGAAAAGTTAATTATACGACTTCTATCTGTTTAATAAACAGGTTTTCATGGTTACATGCCAATTTTCATAGAAGAGCCTTTTTGCGCATTTGAATCCCTACTTTTGTAGTAATTCTTTGAGAACAAAATTATTCGAAGTAATAATTTTCATTATAATGATGCTGAAATGGGCATTTAAGGCTTAATGACGAAAGAAATATTTGCACATATGCGTTAATATGGTGTTGAAATTCTGAAGAAGAGCTAATCGTAAATGTGCTACTAGCAGTTACAAACAAGTTAATGATTACCTGCAATAATAAAGCTTGGTTAACTTCAGAATCACCCTGTACCGAGTGCGGGGATGAGGAACGTTTTCCAGCAAACCATCCGTAATCCTACTTCACGTTTCTTCAAACAAACTTATTGAAACCGAACTTAAAAATATTTTAGGTGGATGCAGTAGCTTCTGTTCTATACTGAAGATGTAAATCTTTTGGATAAAGATAAACACCATAAATAAGACATGTAAGCTTTTACTGGCGGTAGAAAATCAGTTGGTCTAGAAGTAAAGGCAGAGAAAGCTACCTATATGTTGATGTCTGGTTAGACAGACTGTAGGTCAAGATCATAACGTAACAGATAATTTGGAAAAGTACTGTTATTTGGGAAAGAGTAACAAAAATCCAGATTTGTTTTGTGAGGAAGTTGCGAACAAACTAAAATTGGGTGATGCTTCCTACCATTCAGTTCGGAAATTTTGGTCTTCTCGTTTGCTGTCTACAGTACTGCATACAAAATTATAATTTTGCCCGTAGTTTTGTATGTATGCGAAACTTGGTCTCTGACGTTAAGACAGAAACTTGAGAACCGTGTGCTGAGGAGAATATTCGGATGGACGAGGGATTAAATTCTATGTGGTTGGGGAAAATTGCATAATTGGGAGCTCCATAACTTGTACTCTTCTCCAGATGAAAATTAGAATTATCAAGTCAAGGAGGATGAGACGGCAGGGCATGTAGCACGCAACGGATATAAGACGAATGCATACAGGCTTCTTTTTATGAAATTCAGAAGGCAAGAGACCAGCAGCAAGACGTAGATGTAGATGAGAGAGATTAAAACCCATTAGAGAACTGGGATGGAGTTGTATGGACTGGATTCATCTGGCTCAGGTTATGGACCAGTGGCCGGTTCTTGTGAACACTGTAATGAAATGTCGTGTTCTTTAACATTTTGGTAAATTCTTGTGTAGCTGAGAGATTGGTTGTTTCTCGAGATGGGCAGCTTATGCGGTTAGTTACTATTTACTTAGTCATCCTGGTAGTCAGTTAAAAAGTTAGTTAGGTAGTAGCACCGCTTAATACAAATACTCGTAGTTCTATTCATTTCAGTATTCTACTGTAAATGTGAAGGGAAGTACAGTAGAACTTGGTTATAATGTCATCAAAGGGACCTAAAAATAGTGTCGTTATAAACGAATATCGTTGTAACCGAAATGAGCACTTCCACAGTAGCCTTATGTTAGTCACGTAAAAATCTACCAAAAACCGAGTTAAAATGTTGCATTTTTTAGTGAAATACGTAGTTAAGTACAGACTAACGTAACATTAACGTGGAATTAATATGGATTCTCCATATCGTTTGTACTGTAGAATTCACCAAACCAAATTCGTGGCATACATCAGCTTTTTTCCTTCCATTTTCTATTTCATCAATCACTTTAACTTTCTCTTCAAAGCTTAAAACTTTCTTTTCATTGCCATGTTTTCGCTACTGCACTTCTCTGGGTTTAGGCAGGAACACTATAGGGTAAGTAGACAATGTGAGGTCCTGTTAGACGAGATTCTAGGAAAGGAATGCAGTTAACAACCTTCCGCGTCCTCTTGCACTATTCACGCAGTCCCACCCCACACCCTTGTTCTCGCATAAAACCCAAGCTCCTCTTGCAGCCCGCGGTCGTATTCTTCCAGGACAGTCACGTCAGCAAGTAGAGAAAGTGAGGGTTGGCAGACACATCGAACTTTCCCACGATATCAGAGAAATTCAGGAATGAAAATGACGTTACATACGAGGTTGATGCATTTGTGCATGTCGTACTAAGCAAGGTATAAAAACAGTTGCTTTACGAGGAATTAGTTTGTACCATTGAATATTTGACGCAATAGACAAGGTGTCGCAGAAACCGATGTTGCTATAACCAAGTTTTACTGTAGTTGAAGGTTAGTGTCTTCTGGGATGCCGCACTGCTGTCCCACAAATCAATATAACTTTTCGAAGGAATCTCATGTATCCATCTTCAGGATATTCTGACTACACCGTGTCTAATACCATAAAACCGTAATCTCACAGTTGCCGCCGCGATAATTTCAAACTTCAAAGGATTTTCTTTTATTTGTTCATCTCTCCAGTCTACAGAAAGAACAGAAGCTTAAGTAAGCGACGACTCTCTCCTTCCAGAACCATGTCAACACATATCAACGCATGAGAAATGATCATAATCTTAAGAAATTTGATGATATCTAATATCTATAGTGGAAACACTGTCGTTAAATATATTAAGATTTGTTTTCAAGGAGTCGTGAAGGGACAAATAGAACTGATTTTACAGGGAGGTATAAATATTTAAAATTACAGAAAAAATATTTCTCACGTCACTCCCTTTTTTCCAACTCTTTCTTTCTCTGCAAGCCCACGCCCGTTCTTTCTCAGCAACAAAGGGATAATTCTTTGAAACCGAATCATGCATTGCGCTTGTCATGCTGAGAGCACTTCTCGAGACTCTCAGCACATTGCCACCACAGGAACCCCAATCAAGCTATCGCACCATCACGCGGAGGAGGGACTACACATCCTCCTGCGGTTATGATTTAGTTAGAAGGTAACTGAGTTTACTCCCCGCTGGAAAGGAAGTCCCCACCGTGCAACTTCCGGTTCTTCAAGAACAAATTTAAGGCTGACAGGGTATATAGCAAGGGTTGACAATTCACAGGGTTCTTCAGGAAACTGAAGTAAAAACTCTAAGGCAGAGCACAAGAAAAATCAAATGATCACGTAGGGTTTTCAACACAAGAACACACGGACGCTTCGTGTCACAATTTGCTAAGATCCGCTGCTTCATTTATCTCTTCTGTTGGAAAGAACAGAGTCAAGAATGGTGCCAAAAGAAAGACGATAGTGAGTAAATGCTTGAAGCTTCATTGCGTAAAATGCTTTGCATTTGTTTAGAGTACGAAGTTTATTACACCTGTAGGCTGGAAACTGTCTCATAAATTAGTCGATGTAAACTGTAATTCACTAATTGACCCACGTTATTATTATTGAAGTAAGAACTATATAGGAAATGCTGGTCATTTTGAAAATAGCAAATTTTGTAAATACCGTGTAATTTACTTAGTGTACTCTAAAATATTAAGAATTTGATTCCAAGAATTAAACCCAATCCAGAGAAAATATATATATATTTCGTATATTTAATTTCAATAATTTTGTTAATATAAATAACAGAATATAAATATATTCAGTGAATATGATTTCTTTCATTTGCGGCCGGCTTCGGTTTCGGCCTTTCTTGACTACGAGTACTTCTCTTGCAGTAATCATTGCATGCGATTTGCCGTAATGAAAAGATATATGCAAATCTCTACAATTCATATTCGTTTCTTGCATTAATTAACAAGGAGCATTGCTTTTTGTAAGTATGATCTATATAGCTTTTGACTTCCTGTGCATAACAAGTGCTTTGTGCATAGTGTACTTGCTCATGAGAGTGCTACATAATCTGTCGCTTGTTGCATGTTTTCTTACCAAAGCAATGCTTTGCCTCCTTTCTTGTGTCTTCTCATAGAATTACTACATATGCTATGTATTTGTTTCGTATTTTCTCATGAATACGATATGCAAGCTCTGCCCCTTTTGCCGTTTCCTCCTTCTCTGTTTCACGTTCTGTGTTGTCTCATGGAAACATTTCTCATGATTCGTGCCTTGTTTTGTTTTCTCTCATGCAAGGAGAAACATGTTCTCTCCTTCAGGTGGCGTGGATCAAGTCCGATTCTAAGGCCATCCTCGCCATCCAGACGCACATGGTGGCTCACAACCCGCGGCTCTCTGTGACTCACAACGGCCATAACACTTGGAAACTGCACGTCTCCAATGTCCAGATAAACGACTGTGGCACATACATGTGTCAGATCAACACGGACCCAATGAGAAGCCAGGTATTTATCACGTGCTATATCTGGGAGGATTATCTGACGGCCTCCGGCCGAAGCTACAGAACAGCAGAGGAAACTGTGGGGAAATATTAGTCCACTTAGAGTATATTGTAAATTTGCAACCAAATTAAATAAAAAAAAATATATAGTGGACTGACATAGGGCTTTGTCGGTTGTAACGCATTCACATTAATGAATAGCACAAGGAGTTCTTTTCTGAATATTTTTCCGCATTCAAATTTCAAATTCTTGTCCAGTTTTAGGCCGAGTCACTTTCAAATCCAAGTAAAATAAATTACAGCCGAATTTATCAATATGAAGCCCAGAAATGTGAATGTAATATGAATATGTGTAGAGAGTATCTAAGACATTCTGGTTCAGATTTCATTATTGCAGCGAACCTCTCACAGAATTACTGGAATGGCAAAACTGGGCTTCAGTCGCTTTTCTTGCATTATTTGCTGTCATTTACCAAAAATAATTTTCAAAAATGATTGTATTCTACAAATAACGATTTCATAATTTGATTATATATTGAGCCACGAGAGTTATGAGTATTGTAGTCGATCTCGGCTGGATTTGTTTCTCCGCCGTTGGGTGCAACTACGGATTTCTTCGGGCGTTACTATCGATGATTCCTCTGCCTGGGATGCCGTCCCTACCTCTCTTATTCCCTGCACTTCCCTTGTTGTCTAGTGACAGGCTGGGAAGGTAGAAGAAAGGATGGGCGCCAGCAGACACCAGCCTTGTGGCTACGAATTTGAGCAGTTCTTCGGGTCAGGTCAAGCGGGATGCTGACTATTTGTGGCTGGAATCGGTAGAGTTGGAAATCTGGTCTCTACGTCTTAACTGGCTTGGTTTAACAGGACAGGAAGAAACGGGTTGCACACGCACAAACCTCAATTGCGCAGGTGTACCTCAGAGAGACTTTATTACGTAAATTATGTATATTGAAACGATTACACTTATGTTTATAGGAATCCAATCTAATAATATGGTGTACTTAAATCACAATGATTAAATAAATTACCGTAGTTGACACTGATCACTAATGCTTGTAAGTAATGTATCCCAGTTGGCCGAATATCTAAGTGGTTGTTAACTCAGCAATTCCGAAGGGCACAGGTTCTGATTCGTGCCCCTTGGAAGGACTGTGAACGGACTCTGCTTAGAAGAGGCTCGTTCCGAGATGGTACACATCTTAGGGTCTCCAGTAGTTGCATCCCTCGTGATCATCCATAGGCTCATTTCGAAAACAAGGAGGTCTCAATATTTTTACATTTCCCAATTGTTTCCACATTTCTCAGGGGAATGTCGACCTTGCGCCCTTAAAGGTATGACAGAGAGGCCCTCCATGGAAAATCTCGAAACGTCCGTTCGAGGAACTTCTACTCCAGAATTAACGACTTCACGCACCTGCCAAATCTCACGTTCTCAAAGCAAAGCCGACGTCTTGAAACTTCACAGAATTGTAAGAAAGACAACCAACTCCTCCGCTTTCCTCGGAAGAACTGGTCTAAGCCGTCCACAGTACAAGGATGGGATTATCCTTCTTATGGATTCCCAACATGTGCAAACACGTGTCAATCTCTCTAATTAATATTACTTAAAATAGTAGCCAATCACGCTGGGCGATTAGATTATAATGGGCTACTCGAATAATAACATCGATAATACATATAAAGGCCCATGTAAAGAATCACGCTGAAGTTTAAAGAACATCAAATTCTTCAATTTCTTACAATTTTCGGTTACAACCCGCTAGAAGTCGGGACGCAGGAAACAATTGCCGTGCATTCTGTGTGGGAATGCAACGCGGTTTCTTGTTCTGAGGGCAGAATATCAATAACGTCTAAAACAGAAAGGCTAAAAGTATTTCACCTATAAAAGCAGGAGAAAACTAATTTAGGATTCTACACAAGAAGAAACACAAGTTGAAAACTGCGAGCTGAGGGGGCGAGGAGCTTGTGGAGACCAGTAATGTACACTGAATATCTGAACGTTTGTGACGACGGTATATTAATACAGATGCTGTGTTTTTTGACATTACCCATCATCCTGTATTTTATTTAACATAATATTTCGGAGCCTGGATTCCGACTCCGTGTTCAGGTAAAATCCTAATTGTTGATCCAAAGTGATTAGGTTCTTACCTGAAGGCTGAGACAGAATCCAGTCTTCGAAACGTCTTGTTTTAAATACAAATCAGGACTATGGATATTTCCCGAAAAGCAATAACTGAATGTATGTATATAAATTTGATAAGGAAACATTTTTGAAACGTCTATTTGATAGGCAGTGGAAATATTATAATACTGAACGAAGTGGATTGTGAGGATGACAGATAGACGAAACTAGCTTAAGATTGTGCTTAATTGGGGGTTTCCATACTGTAGGGGCTGAACTTACGGGCAGGAAACCGAATTTGATAGCTCGTCTCCAATTAGTCCTAAATTTACCTTGAATACCAGTTCAGGGAGACTGCTTCCGGTCCGATTTCACGTCATGATACTGCGAAGTTTCTGGAAGAGGTGACTTTACTTTTAACCTACATTTCCTAAGGTTTATTCAAGAATGGATATTTCAACGTGTTTTTTTAACACAGTTTACAAGTCAAATTGAATTGACCCGGGAGGTCTGAAGCGATCTTTATTTATTACAGTCCTTCCTACCTTAATCCAAACATGCCTTCTAATTCAGCGGTTCTTACAAACACAAAGCTAATCGACTGTCTACAAGTCGAAGGTTAAATGCATGTATGATTATATAATCATCCATATTGAATGTGAGTGAATGTCGTGGTCGCGTGGTTAGCATTCCTGTTCGGATTCGGGAAATCTCGCTTTCGATTTCATTCCGAAGAAACACTAACCTGAATGAGGTTTCTTCGGATCCTCCGGGCAAATGTCAGGCTCTTGCGTCAAATTATTCTATGGCAGAACCACATGCACTGCAGCAAGGGCGATATTACCTGCCTACCTACTCCAGTATATCAGAAATTGTCTGATCATTAAAATCATTAAAATTCACAACTGATGCAGTGCAAACGGCTTCGCTAAGAATTGATCCACGATTTCATATAGAGAAACCAACTCTTACTATTCTGAACTTTGTGTGTTAACACGCAGTTACAAGCAGGAGATGGATGCAGTGAAAGGCAGTGTAAGATGCTTCAGTGAGTATGTCAGTGTCCAGATAAAAGTCCAGCTCCAGGTAACAAAACTGCGTGTTGTATATTGTTACTTCTTAAAGTTGCAATATAATTGTACTAGTAGCATAACAGTGTTAATATAGCAGTCTTTCCAGAACTTTGCAAGTTATGGGGTCCGTGATTTCATATTTGTTTTTATAAGCAGAAAGTTTGCACATGCACATAAATTGTTTTCTGAATATATTCAGTGCTCCAGATTCAATAAGGACGTTGATAAGCGCAATAATTTCCCACTGAAAGTATGTTTTTGTTAATCACAAGCGGCCTTCACAAGCTGTTTCCGAAAAACCTTGATATATGAACGCTGTGGGATATTACCGTTTCCTTGTCCCTACATTGTTGCACTCCTCGCTACGCACACCGGCAGTGGTTATATAGAGGCGTCAGCAAATGTAGACAGTAACGCATCTCCCATCATTTGCACAGTCATTCTCGGTAAAACCAACATCCGATTATATCACAACCGGGGGAATAATAAACATATGTTTGTTATATAAGAGTTCTGATAATGGCCACAATAAACAGTAATTTCGCTGTAGCTAACATCGACATGATTATAGTTTGTGATGTGATGCAACAGACAGTTCATTTTGCTAGTAAATAGTAATTTGTTTTAGTGTTTCGTTCCGATACACAAATGTCATTACAATTTTATATTCGTTATTACAGTTGATAACTTGAAGCAAAGACCGGTAGGCCAGCGATATACTCGTAGATTGCAAACGTCATGCTGATATAAATGTATTCTTTTTCTTATAAAAACACCACAAATACGTATATTTATGTTTCAGATTGAAAAATAAATATATATATATATATAAAACTTTTAAATATAAAGAGGTCAGAAACTTGTGTCATGAATTAAAATACGATATTGATATTATTTATAAAAAGCCCAACATTCTAACGGATTACTATACAACTCATTTGCAGAAAAATTTGTGTAAAATATAATCATATACTCCAGAATATAATTCGCTTGATTCTACTCATGTAACATGCAGGAATACATGTAGTGTGACAAATACAATTATATCAGGGACATGCCATGAATGTTCGCGTTACACATAGGTTATTGTCGATTAGCGGCAAGGAATCTCATTAAAACATAGTGGAATTACATAGAAATCCAAATCCCCTACAGAGGCACTAAAGTGAACAGTAGAGCTCTCTAGCGGCTGTCCGGACAGATTTGTCAGCAAAATCACTGGCTTCGAATTATTCTGCTTGTGTTAAGATTTCCGGTAGAGGCAATGGGATTTTTCTCTTCACCTCTACTTCTAAGATTTCTGTAGCCACTGTGTCCTATTCAGCTGGTAAAGAACATTGCCCCTGTGTCTCACAGGTCACTGAAATATACTAGAGGGTACAACTACATGCCTATATAATCGAAACCTCTGATTTGCCCCAGATTTATCGTTACCATTGCAGTCTGTTTAACAACAATGTCGGATTAGGATTAGGAAGCTGTGGAGGCTTGAGGATTTGTCTGGATATGTGGAGAAAGGCAAAATAATTGTGCTACAGGCAATCGAATCTCGGTTATTTCCAGCTCGAATGTAGTCAATTGATTGACTGTGAATTCCTGCCCGCGCAAATGGCAACCACTTTCGAAATAAAAATTGAAAGGGAGTTTATACACGAGAAATCTGAAAGAAATGCAATTTTAATCTGTTCAAATACCATCTGTCTCTAGACGTATGACTGCAGTGTAAAAGGAGAAGAAGAATAGGAATAACAGCGATAGCGAATGGAATTATTTCCCATGCCATCATATTTCTTTATTTACCGA